TTGTATTTATTCGCACAAATTGGTATCGCGAGGTTAAATAGCTTCCGAGCCATTTTATCGCAGGTCTGGACGCACCAATGTCCTGTAACTTAGCGAGGAGTATTTGATGGTCAATACTGTCGAAGGCTTTGCTTAGATCAAGAAGGACAACTGCAGTCAGTTTCTTTTTGTCAATGGCATTTAGGATTTCGTCAGTTGTTTGAATGACAGATGTTTCCGTTGAATGCCACTGTTTATTTCCGCTTTGTTTGGATGATAAACGGCCTCTCGAAAGTAGATATGGCGTAAGTTGATTGTGAGCGACACGTTCACAGACTTTAGAAAGGACAGGGAGTAATGAAATCGGTCTATTATTGTTTGGAATATCGTGGTCTCCAGCCTTGAGTATCGGTGTCACTTCAGCTGTTTTCCAGGCCAAAGGGAAGGTGTCAAACTCAAAGGTAGCATTAATAATAGACGTTAACGATGGCAAGATAGCAGGCAAACAATCTTTGATCACATGGATTGGGATTTTATCAATCCCAGGGGCCTTACCACTCGCCATTGATGTGACGATTTTTTGTACCTGTTCGCACTTCACTGCGTTGAAGGTGAACTGCTCTGACAATGGGTAGATTCTCGGAATAAATGAACATTGATTAAGAGTATAATTCGATTCCTCTGCCAATTTAGCAATTCTATTGATGGTACTCTTTCCTACAGAGGAAAAGAAATTATTAAATTCATCAGCAACAATTTTGTCATCTTTGGAATAATTCCTTTGAGAAGCGGACTTCTTGGGTATGCACAAGCGGATTGCTCTCCAGAGGCAATTAGAGTTGTTTTTGTTGTTTACAACTTGCTCCGCGATGAATATTTTCTCAGCCGTCCTTATTTCATGTTTGACTTCGCGACAAAGCTTTTTGTGTTCAGACCAAGCATGTGGATCTTTGTTTTTTTGGGCTACCTTCTTCCAATGATCTCTAAGTCTCATAAGGTCCCGAATTTCGCATGTTACAAAAGGGTTGGGACGTCCACGAATTTTGACTGTTTTGATGGGTGCATGTTCGTCTAATACATTGTTGAATAATAGGTTAAACGCGTTCGATTTATCTTCAGGATCATCAAAAACGTCCAAAACGGACCAGGGTACTTGCGAAACGTCAACAAGAAATTGATCGGGCCGGTAATGTTTGAAGCACCTTGTTGTAATATAAGTTGGCTTTTGACGTTGATTTTTCAAGCGGAGTGTAGCACAAACAATATCGTGATCGCTTATTGAGCACGGTTTCACGATTGTTTCCAGGACTTGTTGCTCGTTTGAGGACAAAATAACATCTATAAGTGTTTCGGTGGAAGGAGTCACTCGAGTTGGTGTTTTAACCATCTGAGATAGATTATACAAGCGACAAAAATCAAGTAGAGCTCTGGAGTCAGGGTTTTCAGAGCTTTAAAACACAGAATCCACCAACACAAACTTGACTTGAACTTTGAGTAAAACTAAACAGCCTCTACCAATAATAACAAACTCTGACTTGAACTTCAGATATCTTACGGCTTCCGCGAACTTGTAAACACAATACCTGAAAATCGACCTTCGTCACACTTGACTAAACACAGCAGTCCAGCTCGTGGGAAAAAACTTAGTTCTTCAAAAGAACTCGCTTGGAACTTGTATACCGTTTGACATAAGGTTCTAGAAAATACTAAACAGCAGGCGAATAGTAGTAGCTTTTCGACATATTTTATGATTTCAGTAACTGATGCAAATCTGCTGACTCATGCTGAAATGTAAACATGCCCTAATTAATTATTCATGGCTAATCCAAAAACGTAGAGAACGTTCGAGAAAGTCTCGCAACGCATGAAAGCAATTTTACTACGTAGCACTCAACAAAGACAAAATGTCTTTTTGCAGCATTTTGTAACTTTAAATTCATTCATAAAACAGTTCGAAAGGAGGGCTCACTCGTGAAATGTTTTTCAACAGTCGAAGAGAAATTTCGTGTCTCTGCGCGGCCACGAAATATCCTCTAGTTATTCCTCGAGTAATTAAAGACTAAACTCGAAGTGATCTCAAGATATCACGAAGTAGTCCGGTCTCATTTCGTGAAATAGTTGAAACAAGCCGAAAAGTCACGAACTTGCACGCCCAATCTTGTCCCGAAACTAGTGCATCATTTCATAACTATTTTTCATATCCCAAACTACCTTGGGTCGCAGTAGCGCAATCGGCTAATCCCTCAACTTAGAGTCTCCTCTGATCTGACGGGTCACACAGGTGAGTCGGTTCAAACCCCGGGAAGGCCAAAATAATAATTCTTTCTTCCTCGAAAAAGTTAAAGAATAAATCAAAGAAATCGAAGTGATCTCGAGATATCTCGAAATAATTCGGCTCTCACTCCGTCAAACAGCCGAATAAAACCGAAAACCTACCGACTTTGCATGCCCAATCTTGTCAAAAAATTGTAACTTTGATACATTCCTGAGCGTCGCGAAACCTTTACTTCGCGCTACGCCGAAGTAATAACTTTCCTTGCCGTAAAAACGTGTTACAAGCAATGGTGAGTAATCCTTTCATGTAAAACCTTTCTTTTTAGTTTGACAACCGTCCGCAAGCCGTCTAATTTGCATAAATTTCCCAATTTAATGGCTCTCACCGCTTGCTTTGGTGTCAGGATTATATTTGATTTCCAGAGCTAAAACTTTCCAGTAAGATAGTACAAAAGCCAAGGTTCCATTTTATATTGATTTTATGATCAAGCGGCATATACCAGAGGCCTTTTTTAATAGTCAAAGTTGGCCTTCGTTTTCTAGCACGTCTAACGTCACAAATATGACCTAATTACACTTGTCGATTATAAAAATGTAAAGCATTGTTTATCAAATTTTCTTTTAGGATTTTCAAGAGTAAGAACAAAATAATAATTCGGTGAAGTTTCAGTGTCAGGGAATGTTTCTTACGCGTTCACCCTTCTCTCGAAGTTGCCGTTGAATCCTGCCGTGTTTTGTGCGAAAAACGAGCATAAAATCGATTTTTCAAACTTTTCCTAATTTCTCCTTTAAAATGAATCGTTTGAACCCAAAACTATTTTTCCTTAAATTAGGTCACTAAAAGGGATGTTTTGGCAAAATAAAAAAAAATTCGATTTTTTGACGAGTGTCGTGCGATTCTCGATTTTCTCAGATAATGGCTCTTAATCAACTAACTTTACAAATTTATAGTCTGCGAACGGCAGACTCTTCTCCTCGCTCATCGCCGCTGAGGGAAGTTTCGCGAGGAGGAAGCACGTAATTTAATCTTAGGTTATAACGCAAACTTATTAGTTTATTATTTCAATATGTCTTTTAAAGACACGTTGTCTTGGTTAGATCAGCTCATAAGTCGACAAAATGATTTCTTTTATAAGACACTGAAAAATTACCAAGACCAATAGGCCATTTGCACGATGGCGTCATTTTACTACTACGACCGGAATCCTTCAGGGTATTGCTTTCTTGTGCAAATTAAGGCTTTTGTTAATGAAACCTCACTGGGACTACCAAATTTAAATATGAAAGGAAAAACGAAATGAATTCTGGTCTTAGTAGTAAAAAGACGTCATCGTGCAAATGGCCCATTGGAACCATTTTCAGGACGTGAATCGCAAGATATTTATTGCTGGCTTGAGAAATTCAAGAATCAATTTAAGTCCCGCGGTCACAAACTAGATTCGGCATGTTTGGCCTTCAGTTGAGCTTGTAATTTAACAGACCTCGCGAAGACCTTCTATTTTTCTCTCGAACCGGAGACAAGAAATATCGAATTTATCGATACCACTTGTCGACGACTAGGTGTGTCTCAAGTAGATCAGTTTTACTATTTTGTTAACGGTGGCATGCAGACATTAAACGCGAAGTTTTGATGGGTCAAACGAAAGATTATCTCACAGCAGTTGATTTAGCAGGCTACACGGAATCAGTTGACCGCACTATTGCGGATGACCATAGCAGCTTTCAACTTTGTAACTTGTTACGTCACGATTTGTGTCAGGAAATACATGACGGAATAGAATCTTTATGGGAAAGTTTTTGCCCAAACTTAGGAAGTCGTGATAGGAATCATCAGTCTTCTACGCAATCGTATCGTCGTCGTTATACTGGTGGATTCACACCTCAGGGCCCCATCTGCTTCAAATGTGGTGTAGTTGGCCACAAAGCCCGTAATTGTACTAGTCAGCCACATCGTTACTACACTTCCGAACCTCGACGAAAAACGCCCAATCATCATGATACTAGACTTGTATCAAATCCCGTCAAACATTTTTCAACTAGTATCAAATGTAGTGGAAGTTCTCCTTTCGTTTTGAAACAAGAGGCAAGTTCTCTAAGTCGTGAAAGCAAATTGCAAATCCCTACTAGGACGATCGAATACATCCGAAGTGAACGAGCATTCTCTACTTACCAAAATCGCCAACGATTTTGATGAAGATATTGATAGTTCGTCTTTTGAGACTTGTTTTGAAGTTTTTACACACCCTAAAAGTTTGGATACCCCCGAAATAACCTCAACAGGGCTAGAAAAGAAAATATTACAGGCACTTTGAAAATACAAACAGTGTAACTAAGTATTGTTTCTTGCGCGTATGAGATGTTAATTCGCGGAAACACACCTAAAGCCTTCTTTCCACACGAATATTGGCAGTTGTGAGTTCAAGTTTCAAACCATTCGTTGTCGTCTAGCTAGTGAAATTCACCAGATGCATACCTCTGTGATCTTTCAAAATGTTATTAGTTTGCAAATAATGTTTAATGGAGAATAGCGATAGACTGAAGATTTTGAGTACGAATATTTTTACTAACAAAAATCCTTTTTTAGTTTATTTTTATCATTTTTTTTTCTTGCTAGGAAATAAAGTCGCTTCCGCGGCAATTGCCAGTTTTGTAAGTCGTGGTTGCAACATCGAGGACCTCTCATTCTGCACTAGAACTTTCATTTGACAAGGACATCTCCAAATCGAGAGGCTGTCAATTAATCAAAAATGTTTGACAACAGTACAGCGAAGAATGAATCAAAACCCGGGGCAATATGTGCTTTTCTTGAAGATACATCTGCCGAGGTAAATTTGAAGGCCTTCGCTTATTGTTTAATCGCGATCGGCTCTTTACTTGGAAATTCGCTGGTAATCTTGGTCATTCTCAAGAACCGCAAAATGCGATCTCCTATAAACTACCTGATAATAAACATGGCGTCTTCGGACATTTTATTCACTGTATTTGGCATATCACGTTTGATCGTGAAGCTCTACTCGGCCCCTTTCAGGTGGTTTGTGAGTGGAATATTCGGCTCCCTCCTGTGCAAATTGGATTATTTTGTCCAGGATATCGCAACAGCCGAGAATTTCCAAACGCAATCGGAGTGTTTTGAAGATGGTTGTCGCTGTTGTGGTGGTGTTTATATGCTGCTGGCTGCCTGCAAACGTTTCGATTTACCTATCTCTATTCCATCGGGGATTTTCTAAGCCTTGCTACATCAGCACATTGTTTTTCTGGGTAATCTTACTGGCATATTCTAACGTGTGCATAACGTCATTTTTATATTTCATTTTTAATGAAAACTTCCGTCAAGGATTTAGGCATGTATTTTTCCATCGAAGAAGCAGGTTCTTTCCGAAGTAACCGCCGTTCGACCCGACGTTGAACTCGTTCATATGTCAGTCATACCTCTTTGAAAACACAAGACGGAAGAAAGAAACTTTAAACTGAGGAAGAGACTATAACAAGAAAAAAAAATATGATTTTCATACAAATGAAGCAAACTGCCTATACTTCGCAAAACTACTAAGAAATCTTTACTAACAGACAACCCAAGTCAAGTTGCGATAACCGCTTTTTTTACTAGAAATTGGCACCTTCATGGTGTCCTGAGCAAAGTGCTTTCGGATTCAGTTTCAGTAAGTACTATATATTTATTGATGTATTTCTATAAGGGCGCGAAAGCGAGGAAAAAGACAAATCAGTCAAATGCAAGACATACTGACTAACTGACTCATGCAGCCAAGCCTAATAATTGAGCTTAAACTTAAATTGATTTTCAACTCAACTTACTAGTTCAGTGTTATTGGCTTATTATTATCCGAAATATTTATTTTTTAAGACCGACTTTAATTTATTGCAACATCAATTCATGCTAAAGGGGTAATTGCCATATGATTGTTCTCACCTACTCCGCAATTGCTAAAAAAGGGCGCTATGTTGTAGGAAACCCTTGCTTTAAAGTTTAGTGAATCACGTGAAAGCTGGAAGTATGAATTTTCAATTTCTGACTGAATTTCCTAGGGGTCTAGAGGCTTCATCAAACAAAGCAAAATTTACATATTTCACTTTATGTTTGGTGTGAAAAATGTACATGTGTTGGTGATTGAAGGAAAAGAAAGTGACAATGATTTTAATCTGAATATTTAATTTTATGTAACTTAAATTACACCTTTTTAAGCACCTAAGGTAAAATGTCAACATAATTTTACAGCTAGAAGACTAAGGGTTATACAGCTCGTAACAGAAAATGACAACGATAATTTACATTTCGATAACGAAAACATATTCCTGCGGCACGAAATTGAAATTGAACGTGAAATTGAACGTGAAATAGAGTTAAGTTGCAATATTTCAACTGGCCAATACCAGTCTTCATCAGGTTTATTGAGATAACACGAATTTATATATGAAGTAAAATAATGACCGGAAATTACATAATATGACGTGATATGGTGTGGCTACTTAAAAATGTCTTCTCTTTAAAGTCACCATAAGCCAATCATGACTCACGATTTCATAGCGCCGAACTTTCTCAATACTCAGTTCAGTCAAACAACAAACAGCAGCACTTCAAAACACGATTTTTTGCACTCATTACATGATAACTTATGAAAGCTGTTTTAGAGGAAAAATCAACTCATATTCATGCGAGGGTACAATGAAGGAATACGTTCATGGTTTGTTTACTGCAAGTGGAAAATTGCACATCAAACTGTACGCAGCCGTATTTTGTTGAGTCGATCCGTAAAAATTTCGTGCTTACAGACGGAACTGGCAGCTGTTTTAATGGAGGACTTCATTCACTTTTTACAAGCTGTAGTGGTTTAGGATCTGTTTTCTGGACTTTATCATGATCAAGAAATGCTGCGGTAACGACGTGGCTTGCATTTGCGAAGTTGTCGCATGTAACTTATGTACGTATACAGCGACCGATGGAAATATGTCAGTGGTAGCTCTAAATCTGGAGAAAGGTTTCTTTGCCGTGGCCACACGTTAGCGTTAATATTTGTCATTTGTGAAGTCGGGTGGTTTGAAGTAGGTTATGGCATCGATATTACCGAATAATTTGTGCAAATGTTGGAAAAAAACCAGCGCGAAACTCTGACATCTTTGATCATCGTTTACAGCTTGTTTACAATCTATAGCGGCCGATTTTGTACCATAACTCGATCAGATATCTCTTTTTGGAACAATTTCTTTCGTTTAGGAATTTAATGTTGACATAAAATAAATCAAGAACGCTAAAACTATCCGTTTTGTTGCTGGTTGGCTCATTGTTAAGTTGTCCTAGAGACTTTCTACACCAGAAACTCAGTTTGTTTTTTCCAGCGTTGAAATACTTTATGACTTTTAAAGCTATGGCATTAGCGAATTGTGACGCGCGCTCAGTAATAAAATGTGGGAACCAACGCTTTTTAATTTTAAGAAGGGATGGGTAAGTAACTTGTTCCGTCTTTTAGCCTTTCTAAAATCGTTGTTTGCAGATCAACAGCCGGTTTTGTTTACGCCTCTTGTTCCGAATGCCTTTTTCTATGAGTAATTACCGGTATAATAAACCATAGGTTGTTGACCAATAAGATCACGCGTACTATCTCAGTTATTTTATAAATAGTTACAGTTCATCACGTTTATTGATGCCCAGAGGCTCAATTGTCTTAGCTTCATGGATAAGGTGGGCTTCACGTGCTTTCCTGAAAGAATCACGTCCATTTTTAAGTTTTTCAATGGGAATCAAAAGCATATGATTGTCGGAATGATTAATGGTAAGAAAATGTTCTGAAACTGCAGTATGGATGTAATTACCAGTAGGGTTGAGTGTAGGTCGTCTGTGTTCATTAAAACGGCCTTTGAGGCGAAGTTTAGTTTCTCCAATATATTGTAGATTACACAGGCGACATTGAATTAAATAGATAACATTAAAAGTTTCACAAGGGATATGAGATTTGATATGGTGAGTCTCACCTGTAGGATGAAAAGCTAAGTGTATTGATTACGGTCATGTTCGATAAAGGGACAGGTGGTGCAATTCCTGTTGTTATACCGAAAGGAACCGGGGGTGGGTCGTGAGTTACTGGTGTCGGTGATGTTAGTACGCTGGGCTCTAACGAGGATGTCGCTAATATTTTTACAACGGCGATAAGCTATTAACGGAAGGTTTTTAAAAACATTTCTACAGCGATCTCATGAGTACAACACGTTAGAATGCTTGTGAATGATATGCGCAAGGTTGGGTAATGCTGGATTATAAGTAATGACGAAAGGGGTGGTTTCAGTCTGAGTCTTGAGTTTGTTTGTGAGTGCGTCAGTGCGAGGAATGTCGGAAGCTCGTTGTATTTGGGTCTTAAGAAAGGTTTTGTCGTAGCCGCGATTAGCAAGGTAATCTATAAGTTCGTTAGTACCGACGTAGTTTGTAATTGTCTGGGTTAGAGCAAATGCAACGGAGGCGAAGTGCAAAGCTAAAAGGAATAGCGCGTTGGGTATGTTGAGGGTGGCAGGATGAAAGTAGTAAATACCTGGTGTTTGTCAGTAGGTTTAGTATAAAGATCTGTCTCTATGGAGCCATCCTTGACTGAAACCATGACATCAAGGAATCGTATGTTACTAGGTAAATGTGAACAAGTGGTGGAGTGTAAGATAATCAACAAATACTTTCAGTTTCTCTGGACCTGAAATCCAGATCATGAAAATATCGTCGATAAATCTAAGCCACAAGTATGGTTGATGGGGGAAGTTAAGGAGAGCGTCGCGTTCAAATTTTACCAAGAAACAAATCAGCGTAGGAAGGAGCCATACGCGTGCCCATAGCCGTGCCGTGCTTTTGAAGGTAGTGTTTGGAATTAAATGTTAAGTTATTCATGGTGAGGATTATTCGAATGAGGTCGCAAATGGTTTCCGTAGGGATATGTTTATTAGTGCGTTTTTGAAGGAAAAAACGACAAGCATCAATTCCTTCATTATGTGGGATGTTAGTATACAGTGACGTGACATCAAGCGAGACAAGCAAGGCATTATCAGGAAGAATGTCAATGGCGGTGAGTTTGTTAAGAAATCAGTGGTATCTTTGACGTATGACGGTATAGTGCAGACCAAGGGTTTGCCGATGAAAATCAACAAACTGTGAAATGCATTCAGTAGGTTGATTGTTGGAAGAGACAATGGGCCTACTGGGATTATTGACTTTATGGCTTTTAGGGAGAATATAGAAGCGTCCAGGTTTGGGATCCTCATGTAATAGGTATTGTTTGTTTTTTTTTGTCGACAAGTTCATCGTTGAGTATTCGTTTGACGTATTCTTTGGTATAGGTGAGCCGCTGTAGATTTAAAATCCTGACCCTAAAATACATAGACTCGAGTGAAATAATCAGATACCCTGTTTCGGACAGAGAGGTCAAAACCCATACCCTGTACAGCGGCACATCCCCGTATAGGCCATATTTATAGGAGTGCCCTCCCCCCCGTCGCCCTCGGGAATGAAAGCAGAGTCTGTATCCCAGACCCCGCCTCCGGAAGAGTCGCAGCTAGCGCCCCTCTGCAAAAACTTTGCTCACGAGGCTTCGCAGGCTAATTATTAACGGGGGTAATCCCTTAGGTATGTGCCGCCCCATCGGGTAGGGTTTTTGCGCGGTTTTGGTCTGAAAACGGTTGGCCTGCGTAGCAGGCGTCGAGACGGGATAGGGAGGAATGGAAAAAGGGAGAGGGATTGGGGAGAGAGGGCTTTTTTTCCCTCCCCCTCCCCCTTCACTTTTTGGGTCTGCCACGCAGCTTAGAAAACGGGTATACACTTTGCCCATTTTGGTCTGGAATCGGGTATGGTTTGAAACGTATTTATCGTTTCAATTCCAATTGAGTAAGAAAGAAAGAGGAATATGCGAATTCTAAATGGATTCTTGGTTTTCGCTGTCACGCAATAAACATGGCGTAAGAAAATAAGTTGAAACTGTTCAGTGGAAGAAGCCAAGAAAGTGAATGTTATTAAAGACTAATATCTGAACAGTTCGACCAAATCTCAGGTCTTTGTGGCCCACAGTTTCTGAGTTATTTGCCGAAACATTTCACCCACCTTGCTTTTTAGGGCTTTGTATGGAGAAGCCTTATTGGTGGACAGAAACTGTCCACCAATATGGCCGCCGGAAATCAACAAAAACATCTGGAGTTCACTTTTTCTACGAAAGCTTTTCCTTTTCACTCGAGAGCTAGCATACGTACGCATAAACACATCTTTTAATACTTGAAATGGTTAAACTGCTGAAAATCAAGAGGAGAGACTAAATGAAACATGCTTCGGGGCTGGAAACTTGTACAAAGATTTATTTCTTATTTATCTTCAACCTAGTGTAAATAAGAATACGTAAAACCTCGCTTTTTTGACTTTGTAATCTGATGACGTCACTGTGAAAACCATCAATTTGAAGATTTTTTTGATTGCGTTCTAATCGGAGTAATGAGAACATAATTTCTGCCTAAGGGCCAGGTTTGAAAACGAGTATGGATTGTAGAGGTCTGGTCTGAAAACGGGTGTGGAAAATTATATTTTTTGATTTGAAATAGGGTTTGGATTTGGAGAACTGGGTGGCACACCCCCACCAAGAATTCCCAGGAGGCCCCCCCCCCCACCCGGGTCATTAACTCACATTTTTGTATCGATTCATAGCATCGAGAATAAAATCCAAAACTACACATAAAGGGATGAATGGTTTCTTAAAGAAACAAAACGTCAAGTAGAGCACAGATTAGGTCAATGATAAAAACAACAGGCAGTGACAGGATCTCAGCGTGTTGCTACTGTCACAGTTTACCTTTCTGTGCAGGTTAGATCAACACCTTTTCATTAACATTTAAAGACGGTAATGAAAATAAATTATTCATAGGATCTTCATACACGTAGGACTCACTTAATATGTCATCTTATAAAAATGCCCTGCAACTGCACGGTGTCTATATGCAAGAGTAACATTGAATCTAAAACATAGTGAGATGACCGAACAAGATTCTTGGAATGGGAAACAATGAACTCAAGGTAAAATTTTGCTTTTAAGTTTATTAGCAGAAAGGACGAGTTTATTCTACCAGATACCAGATTCTATCTGGATTCTATCTAAGGTCGTGATATTTGATTGTTTAGTTCCGATCAAATTTACTCGTTCACGCTGAACGAGTAAATTTTTTTTGTAGTACACTTCGTCCATGAAGAAAAGCAGACTTATTAAAGTGCATTTTTAAAAAAAGAATAACAATTCCGTTTTGGCCACAACTCTGCCTCGGTTTTAGTTGATTACGGATTCCATGCGCTGTCATTTTTGCTTGAATAGCCTGTGTTTTATATCTCCGTCCTATTTTCGTAGCTTTTTACTCACGTAGGTACGAAGGACACGACTGCAGGCAGCAGGTCTCGTAGCAAGCGTGGATGTTGTGGTGAATAGACAGCCCGGGATAGACTTCCGGGGATAGACTGCTTCAGTGCGGACGGCGTTTTCTCTTAAAACCCGACTAGTTCTTACCGCAGCCAGCCTGACTGCAAACAACGATGTTAAAGGATCTTAACGTAAGGGATTAGTACGAGTCGGATCATCGTTGGTCGCGACCTCGCTGGCTTGGCGCTCGCGGACTTGGGTTCGTGGAGTACTTTTCATCTGAGAGACCGATCACAGTCTATGTCTTGAATTATTTATAGATCCAGGCCGATAAAGCCCCAGGCACAAAGTTAAAATCATTCTCTCCGAGTTTTATTAGAACCGGCTTGCCAGTCATAAAATCTGACCTTCACTCAGCTCGGACACCACTCAGGAAGGAAGAAACATACAACTTCAAGTGAGATTAGCCGATTTCATTTAACTTTCAAATTTGTAGCTAAATGCAGTTTGAGTTGCAAAAACAATATTTTCACCGCATTAAATTATACTGTGTTTCGAAGGTTACGCAACGGCGCCGATAGTTATATTTAATTCGAACTTGGGCTACCTGTGGTCAAAGACTCTAAGGGAAATCGAAAGAAATCTGCGCCAGGATTTATGGGCGCCTGATTACGAGAAATCCAAGGCAACGAAGTTATCATTATAAAGCAAAATTTAGCTCAAGGTAAGAGAAACTCTAGTGGAGCGCAAATAAGTTAATAAATCACGACTGGATGGTAACTGGGTATCCTTTAATAAGTAATTAACAGGCAATTGAATGGTAATAAACATCTTCGATGCAAAGTCATTTATAGTAATGTACAAAAAAGGAGTAATCAACGAGTTCACAACGAGTTGCGAACAGGCAATAAAATTTCAACCAGTCGAAGTAACAATCCTTATTTGTTTACTTGTTACAGTGAAATCTCGATTTTTCAAATCACGTTGGGAAAAGAAAATTGGTTCGAATTATGAGAGGCTTTGCTAAATCTGCAGGGGTGGACCGAAATGTATAGTGTTTGACTGGTGAAGGAAAGTTAGGTCTGGCCGTTCGAATTATCGAGAATTTCGGAAAACCGAGGGTTCGATGTAGAAATCGGGATTTTGCTGTTTTTGTTTGATTTGTGATCGATGACTGTTTGTGAGCGGAGACAATAACAGTTACATGCAATTAAAGATGATTTAAAAGGTTGCATAATAATCTGGTGGCAGTTATGTCAGTTGCCTTATGCCCCGAGACGTAAGTTAGACTAGTGCGTTCGGCAATTGAGCCCAAGGCATCCGAAAGCCATTGGCTTTCCCTTTGAACTTTGGTATTCTACAGTTACAGGAAGTTAAATAAATATAAGTTAACTCACAAGCAAACTGTGAATTAGGACACGCAACAAGAGTTTGGATTATATACGGAATTGCCAATCTTGAACTCAGTGGACAAACGAACATATGCTTTTTTGAGTCCGATTCGCTCGTTTTTATTTCGTTTTTGGCCCAATTCTAATCGGTGAGCAAATAGATCCCAGTTGCACTTGCAAAACAAGTTGCTCGATTATGTCCCATTAACGATTAACGAACAAGCTAGCTAGCGAACTCAAAACAAACAAGGCAAACAAAAGGTATGCTTAGAAATACAATGCTTTTAGCTCCTTAACCTCCTTAGCAGCCAGTATCTAATTATTCTTTTGTAGAAAGCGCCTAATTGTTGTGTTCCAACAAGATCAATCTTCTGCCGCACGAATTGGATTTTGAAAAGTAAATAAATAAAAGAAAAAACAAAACAAACAAAACAAAGAAGAAGAAGAAGAAGAAGAGAAAGAAAAAAAATATATCTTGAATGCTCTCTTACGACCATCTTTGTGAAAACCCGTTTGAACTGTAACTTAAACTTTGTAGTGAAAAGCTATCGTAAGCGACCGTTCCCGTAACCGACCTCGACCACGTTTGGGATTACTCAACTGGACGTTTCCTTTATTTTTAAGCTCTAATTAGCGACCACTTTTAGTCTTGTTCATATGAATTAATACTCTAAGTAATGAAACTGCACACTGTGATAATAGTCTAAAAAATTGGACGTAAAGTTTAGCCATGTCTATATCAGATATCAAGACACTCATTAAACATTTTGTTTATGAATTGTAATAGCTTCTTCAGCTCTCATAAGCGACCACCCTCTATTGTTTTACCATGCGGTGGCTTAAGAGAGCTCGTTCTCGTAAGCGACCAGCTCTACCACTTTTTTCGTATTTCCGAGGTGGTCGCTAACGAGAGCTTCGACTGCACTTCCCTAGCCTGTTCCAAGCTCCGAGATGGTGGTGGAAGTCGTTCAGTAATAAGAAATGCGGAAAACGCGCGGGGGCTGGGGAGAGCCTTTCCCCAGTCGTGCGCGTCTTATTTTCGTTTTGCTCGTTTTAATACGTTCCCACTATACTATCTGAGAGCCTGGCACAGGCTAGCACTTGCCTTAAAGACCACCCCATCTACCAAAAAAAAAATGCCAGTGAATCTAATTGCATTGTTACCACAAACCGCAACGACTTTACCCTAGTTGACCCTAATTGATCGATTAGTTGTTAGATTTTGGGACAATCGACTAAGGAAACATAGCGAATGGTTTAACCAGGCTTCATCAAAGCCTGGTATCATAACAATCATACAAAACCTTATTTTGCTCTTGACTTGCTGTTATTCTTTGTAAACAGCGTGACTTCTGATCATTTTTCGTCCAGTCCGTCCCTGAGACCACTTTTGCTTCTGTGCGGACGGTTTGGCGAGGTCGCACTTTTTGATGACAAAACAACGCTCTTAAACCATCTCTGTAATTTGTACTGAAAGCAAAAATGACATACGGGTTTAGCGCATTGTTGGTGTGTGCCAAGATAACAGTGTAGCTTGCAATGGTTCTGGCGATACATGACGGGCGGGAATCCCATGAGAAGAAAAATAAATACACAACGATGTTAAAAGGCAACCAAGACAAGATAAAAACAACGACCACCGCAATTACAGTGTTTAGGACATTTCTGTTTCGCCTGTTCCATGAATTCCTCAAATTGCTGGAATAATTTATGACTGTGTTTTGGCCCTGTCTTAATCGCACGATAATGGCGCAATACAGACAAATCATAGTAACCGTGGGAATAAAAAACAGAAAACAAGATAATACTAGGAAATACGTCCTGGTAACAGTTTCCTGTTTGTAAAATGGAGCCCAACTATAGATGCAAAAGGTCTGGTTGTTTTGCAAAACTAATCGCCATGTGTAGATGTAAGGAGTGTGGAATCCAAATGCCACAACCCACGTTAAAAAAAGCAGAATGGCTCTTATTGAAGTAGTGATGAAGTATGGTTTTAAAGGGAAGACAATGGATCGGAACCGATCCACTGCAATAATAACTAAACTCTGAATGGACACAGCTGTAGATACATCTTGAATAATGTAGGTCGTTTTGCAGAGTACTTCCCCAAGCAATCCGCCCATATGCCATTCTTGTGGACTAGACAGTATCTCTGTAATCCTACGAGGAACGACCGTGACGGCAAACAAAAAGTCTGAGAAGGCCATGTTGAGGAATCCACAGTTGTGCGTAAGCCTTTTTCCCTGTGGAAAACCATGGCGATTAAGGAGTTACCAATCAAACTGAAGACAAATATTGCAATATAAGCCAACATCTGACCGATTTTTGCAGTGGCATCCAAATTAAAGGAATCAGAATAACATGAATTGTCAGAATGATTTTGAGGCAATGTTCTATTGCTTTCCATAACTGAAGAAACAGGTTTGAGTAGAATTTTCGGTAGAAATGTTTTCTAGTACCACCAGTCGGTGACTTATTTCATCCGGTAATTAAACTTAAATGGACAGGGAATTCTTTTGATTTCCAATTTTTTTTTTTAGCAAAAGAACTGCGAAAAACTTGTTTCCGGCGCCTATCAGCAAAATCTTTATGGGTAGATCTATGTATTATATATACTAACTACTAAGACAAAGAGCAATAAACTGTGCCCCTTTTTCACACGTTTATCAAGGATGTAGCCACCCGCGAGGGTGAATCCGTAAATTAAATTTAATGCTCTGTTTGGCGCAAGCCACACTTTGCGCAAACAGAATTTAATTTTGAGACAGATTTATGCAGACCATAGTGTTCGGTAAATGCAAAATGAGACTTACATTCGCAAACACAGATGGCTCACAGGTGAAAGTCTTAATATCTCGATTTCCCGTGAAATTACTAGAATCCTTGATTAATCAGCATTGCTTTCAGATAATAATTAAAAGTATAAATCAAGAAAATTAAACTCAGAATCCAAATGAAATAAAAAATGAGACCTATTAACTTAAAGAAATCTACCAATAACCGAGCACTGAAGAATGACTCGAGTATTCCTGTGATGCAGTGCAAACTCGATATAACAAAGGACTAACAAGGGACCGGCAAAATGTGTTCGCTATAACGAAGTTTCGCTATATCGAGGTTCTTTTTCATATTGTTTAGGTAAAAAAAAAAAATTGTTTGTTATATCGTTATATAGAGTTTCCAGTGTACATAAAAATACTGATGTCCCTATTTTTAAATGTATACAGCTATCATTCAAAACTTAAGAAAATGAGTAAGGATTGACATCAACCGTCAGGTTCCGTCAATCATAGCATACTGTAAAAATCCGAAACAAGCCCCGGGGCTTATCTACGAAGGGAGATTTGCGTTTCAAAATCGATTGAGCTACCCTTATAGATGGAAGTAAATTAACTGTTTTGCTTTGTTTCACTCTGTATTTGAGGGCAATTTTCCAAGTACAAGCCCCCGGGGGGGGGCTTATATTTGGAGGGGCGATTTAACGGAGGGTTTTTCGCGTTACCGGTTTGGGGGGCTTATATTTGGAGGGGCTTATTTTCGGAATTTTACGGTATGTTTGTAAAACAAACAGATATATCCAAAGAAGTGTAAAATTACTAGAAACTGAATATTGACCAACAATCGGGTTCATCACTTGGAAGTATTTTGATGATACCATTTGTCAGTTATGTTGACAAAGGACACGATTTAAAAATAGGGAGCTTTAAGCAAAGACCAAGAGGACAGCAGTAGAAACGTCGCTATTTGACCGGTGCTCAACTTGTCATTTTATTTAAGAACTTTATCAAGGTTCAAACTATGAGATCCCTAATGATTATCCCTGAGGATAATCTGGAAATGAACAAAGGGGACCCGGGCAAAACATGGGATCTAATTAATAAACGAGCTGACATCACGCAAATGTGGAAAAAATCAAAACATCTCCGCAATTACGATTGATGATAATCCTAAAACTATGTACCCGAAATGACGCAAGCTTTCAACAATTTTTTCACAGCTAAAGGCCCTGACGTAGCAAGGGAGGTAACCAAAAAGTAAATGTCGAACCAGAGTCTTGCCTTCGTCCTCGTGACAAAGTTAAGTTTTTTTTTGCCTAAAAGCCCCCGACGTTACAGCGATTTACATGTTGACGGGTGAAATAAACGAAAGGAAGGCCTGTAGGCTGGACAAAATTCTCTGTAAGTTATTAAAACTGGCTAGTGGAATTGTTGGGCCCTCACTGTCAAGTACATTTAAGAGCCTTGCTGAAACTGGGCTTTGTCAAGCGAAATTGGAAGGTTGCTAAAGTGACCCCTATCTTTAAAAAGGTACTAAATCCGATCTTAACAATTATCGATCAATATCTGTATTACACATTGTCTCGAAAATTTTCGAAAAATAATCTTCCAACAACTGTACGATTACTAAAATGAAAACAAGCCGTTGAATAACTACCAGTCTGGTTTTCGCTCGTTGCATAGCACCTTATCGGCTTTACTTGAGACCACGAATAATTGATCACTTAATATTAAATGGCGTCATATTCACCGATCCTAAAACGGCTTTCGACACCATCGACCATGAAACTGTTTTGGTAGCTACACTGTACAACTGAGACAAAACCCATGGTACATAGAGAGATGGGTGTGCAGATAGTACCCATGTTTAGGTAGCTATTTATGACGGAAATGCCGCTACTACAATTGGTAACGTATGTTTAAGCCAGTTAGGAGAATATGTTTTAATAGGGCTAAAAAGAGGTTGATCGTGAAGAAGGCCCATTTGCATGAAGAAAAGTTATACCGGCAAAGAGGGTCACCCTCCAGGCCGAGTCAGCTTTAGCGAAGGTTTATATGAGAAAAAAACCTTGATCCCTTTGCTGGAGCTTGGAGCTCACGCATGCTCTGATTGTCAACAGCAGAGCTCGACTATGCTTAAGTTTGGTTGTCTCGCCTTGATCGAGTTGACTGAAAGGAGCGAACCAGACTGTTTTTATGGAGAAAAGTTGACCGGCTTGTGACCTTAACAACGAAACAGAGTGACCCGACCAGGGGAGCCAACTTTTTGTTTCTGATGTAAACGATTCGTCAAATTTTGCATTGAAAAATTGGGTGCTCACAAGGTAGCTCGTGTAGGTGACTGAGCCTTTTCCCCTGGAGGACAACTTTTCTCAACACAAACGGAAGTTAGCTTCTTGCTTGCGGTTCTATTTTATTGGCAGTATCCTCTCTCTTTGATAAATAGCAAGGAAGTTTTAAACGGCAGGCTAGGTCGGCTAAGACCGATTTTACGTCTCAGTTCTTTTGCGGATATTCGTTTTCTTTTTGGTAGAGTAAATAACATGTAAATAAGAACAGCTGGAAAAAAAATAAACAGATTATCCATTCGATCATTTAGCGCTGGAAAATTTTGAAAACTAACACAGTGAGCGTGACAGTGTTCGGTATATTGAGAACATCTTCAATTCTGGCAAATAATCAGTACGGGTGCAATCACAGTTGGCCAGAAACTGGGCTTTAAAAAAGGGATAAAACAATACAATCAGCTACCACTTTAAAATTTTGTGGTGAATATGCACATTTTTATTTAGCATTATTAATAAATATTCTTGTTTGGATAAGAAAATATTCAAACAGAAGTGACGCCAAAAGAAACCTCTTTATCTGCCTTAACTTTTTGTATCTTTGTGGGAGGCCCCGCCAATCGTTCAAGTGACCGCATGGAGGCGTGTTTATCCTTGAACAACAAGGTTTTATTAATAACCAAAGTTACTATAGTTTCATCGATCCTTAGAAAGTGAGCTGAGAGTTAAATGATTTCAAGGCCAACGGGATTAATATAATAACGAACTTAAAGAATAGTGGTGTGAAAATTACAGTATTCAAGCTCTTTAGAACAAACAGAGTGACAAAAATTGACGTCTCGATTTTCAATTCCAATTTCCACGGAATGTTTTGTTTAAAGCAATACAAAATTACGTTTACAAATTAAGCGGTTTTTGTTTTCTTTTGGTTTGCTTTACTAATAGAACCATATTTTCTTGCTGCAAGGAAATTAATAATTCAAACCAATTACCTCACAGAATAACAGGAAAGAGAAAATTCAAAGAGAGTCCAAAAATTCTTATTTTGAGGGATTTTAGGGATCAAAAATTTATAAAATGGAGCACGGGTGCTTCAGTAGTCATCGAACACATCATAGATATCTTAATGACTTGTTCAGAATATTTTGTTGAACTGTTTATTGCGCATTCGCCTGGCTTTTTGTTTAAACTGTCTAAAACTAATGTCACATTTGTCCTTTGAAAATACAAACAATGTAACTAAGTATTGTTTCTTGCGCGTATGAGATGTTAATTCGCGGAAACACACCTAAAGCCTTCTTTCCACACGAATATTGGTAATTGTGAGTTCAAGTTTCAAACCACCGTGATTCGTTTGTCGTCTAGCTAGTGAAATTCACCAGATGCATACCTCTGTGATCTTTCAAAATGTTATTAGTTTGCAAATAATGTTTAATGGAGAATAGCGTTAGACTGAAGATTTTGAGTACGAATTTTTGTACTAACAAAAATCCTTTTTTATTTTATTTTATTTTATTTTTTTCTGGCTAGGAAATAAAGTCTCTTCCGCGGTAATTGCCAATTTTGTAAGTCGTGGATGCAACATCAAGGAACTCTCATTCTGCCACTAGAACTTTCATTTGACAAGGACATCTCCAAATCGAGAGGCTGTCTGCCGCAATCAAAAATGGTTGGCAATAGTACAGCGAAGAATGAATCAAAACCCACGGTAATATGTGCTTTTCTTGAAGATACATCTGCCGAGGTAAATTTGAAGGCCTTCGCTTATTGTTTAATCGCGATCGGCTCTTTACTTGGAAATTCGCTGGTAATTTTGGTCATTCTCAAGAATCGCAAAATGCGATCTCCTATAAACTACCTGATAATAAACATGGCGTCTTCGGACATTTTATTCACTGTATTTGTCATACCGCGTTTGATCGTGGAGTTTTACTCGGCCCCTCACAGGTGGTTCGTAAGTGGAATATTCGGCTCCCTCCTGTGCAAATTGGATTATTTTGTCCAGGATATCGCAACAGCCGTTTCAATTCTTAGCCTGGTAGCCATCGCCTTCGACAGATTCTACGGAGTGGTTTATCCCATGAAATCTGGTCTTATCAGCCGTGGTAAAATATGCGGTTTGGTTTTAGCTTGCACGTGGTTCTT